TACTGACCTAAAGTTTAGTGTGGTAGTAGCTGAGAGTTATTCACAACAAATACTCTACTTTATTTTAAAAAATAGGTCACTAACATTTTGGAGTTAACTCTGTTAGTCTGTTAGCAAAATAACTCATTAACCACTGGTTGGATTTTATTGAAACTCTGAGGAAATAATCAGTGTATGTTCCTCTACAGGTGATTAGCTTTTAGAGTCAAACTATGTCAAGATGGCCATCACAGACAATTAGCCTTAGAAAACACTAATATTGCTATATTTCAGTCAATTTCACATATATTGTGCTAGAATTAGGTATGGTAGTAGCTGAGAGTCATTCACAATGCATACTCTAAGTATTGCTTGTTTCATTAAATATTTACCTAAAACTTTAGTGTTAAATCTGGGAGTCAAACCATTTTGTCTGTTGGCAAAACTGCTCATAAACCACTGGATGGATTTTAATGAAACTTTGAGAAAGTAATCAGTGGATGTTCCTCTACAGGTGATTGACTTTTAGAGTCAAACCATTTCAAGATGGCCACCACAGACAAGTGGTTTTAGAAAACACTAACATTGCTATTTTTCAGTCAACTTCACATATATTGTGCTAGAATTTGGTTTGATAGTAGCTGAGAGTCATTTATAATACATAATCTAAGTACTGCCCATTTTATGAAATATTTGCTTAAAACTTCAGCATTAACTCTGGGAGGCAAATTGTTTTGTCTGTGGGCAAATAGGTTCATGAACCACTGGATGGACTTTAATGAAATTTCCAGAAAGTATTTACTGGATGTACATCTACACATAATTAACTTGTGAAGTCAATCTAATTCAAGATGGCCACCACAGATAATTGATATTAACAAACACATAATTGCTTACAACTCAGTGAATTTTAAAGATACTGAGCTGAAAGTGTACTGTGGTAATAGCTGAGGGTCATTTACAACACATACTCTGACAGCGAGCTTGCAGGTAATGTTAATTTTAAGTTTGACCAAAATGGCCACACAACTCCATCCTTTCCTAACAGAAGATGATCTTATTTTGAAAGGAGTAAAGTCAGAGGGTTCATCTGGCTGGTCAGGACTTCACATCTGGACTGATTTTGGCAGAGAGAGCTACTATTACATAGTGGTGTAACTTTGTTATGTAAGGAGTTGGACAGACTGCTCTGAGTTTTGTCTCCTCTAATCTAAAGCGCATGCTGCAACATAACCTCTTAAAAATGCAACAAACAATGCACGAAGTTGCATTATTATATTCCTGTTTGATTTTGTCCTTCATTTATCGTTTGAATTAGAAATATTGAGAATGTTCTTGCCACAGAAGAACCATTAGGTCAGATGGATCTTTATTACAAGAGAGTGTTAAAAAGTCTAAAAGGCTCATGAATCGCTGCCTCATTGATCGCTATTTCAAGCTGAAAAGGATGTGGAGCGAAAAGAAGAACGTTAAAGTGTTGCTGAAAACATTCTCCATGAAGTGACTGAAGTGGAGTTAAATTTCCTTAAAAAAAAAAAAAAAAAACACTGAAACACTGAGGAGGTTGTGTACTGTACTGCCCTCCAGTGTGCAGAAGAACTCTGTACCACAGAAGGAGACAGACATAAAATCCATGGACGAGTACAAAGAAATAAATCCAGCTTTTATTTATTAATCTTATATAGATTTGTAGCAAAGGTTTTGTAAATTTTAGTACATGGCTGAACAGTGAGTTTTCAAGTCTTGCCAAAGATTTTCAGAAATTTGTGTCTGGACTTTGACTGGACTGTTGTAACACATAAATATACTTTGATCTGACCCATTCCACTGTAGACCTATGATCTGACCCATTCCACTGTAGACCTATGAACTGACCCATTCCATTGTAGACCTATGATCTGACCCATTCCATTGT